TATATTACTTAGATTATTGTTTCGTGTATCAGAAGTTTTACAAGTATTACCAAGTTTTACAAGTATTACCTATGATATCGTTTCGTGCATGAGACATTATACGTATATTACTTAGATTATTGTTTCGTGTATCAGAAGTTTTACAAGTATTACCTATGATATCGTTTCGTGAATGAGACATTATACGTATATTACTTATATCATTGTTTCGTGTATCAGAAGTTAGACATTTCTTATCCATGGTATATTTTTATACGTGAGAAGTTATACATATATTTATTGAGATATTGTTTCGTGTATCAGATGTTATACATGTATTACTGTGGTATTGTTCCATGCATCAGATAAATATATTACCCAGAATATTGTTTGATGAATGAGGTGTTATACATATATTACTGTGGTATTGTTCCATGCATCAGATAAATATATTACCCAGAATATTGTTTGATGAATGAGGTGTTATACATATATTACTGTGGTATTGTTGCATGCATCAGAATATATACGTGTATTACATACTTTAGTTGTTCATGCATAAGAAGTTATGCATACATATTTTGGTGTAATGTTTTTCTCACTGTTTATTTTTATTACTTACATAAAACTGTTATCACTTCTGGTATTTGTTGGAGTTTGGTGTTTCCAGATCAACTGTTTATCTTCATTATCTACATCAAACTGTTATCACTTCTGTTAGTTGGAGTCTGGCGTTTCCAGATCAACTGTTTATTTTCATAATCTACATCAAACTGTTATCACTTCTGTTAGTTGGAGTCTGGTGTTTCCAGATCAACTGTTTATCTTCGTTACTTACATGAATCTTTTATCACTTTTATTACTTGTTGGAGTCTGGTGTTTCCAGATCAACTGTTTATCTTCATATTTACATAAAACTGTTATTACTTCTGGTATTTTTTGGAGTCTGGTGTTTCCAGATCAACTGCTTATCTTCGATACTTACATGAAATTGGTATCACTTTTATTGCTTGTTGGAGTCTGGTGTTTCCAGATCAACTGTTTATCTTCGTTACTTACATGAAACTATTATCACTTTTATTACTTGTTAAAGTCTGGTGTTTCCAGATCAACTGTTTATCTTCATTATTTGCATGAAACTGATATCACTTTTATTATTTGTTGGAGTCTGGTGTTTCATCAGATATAATATAGTGTTTTTGTTTTGCAAAGTATCCGAAGAAAACCAAAACCAACAACAAGCATTTTGAGAGATGGAAACAGATTTTCAGAAGTGACATCCTTTAATAATCAAACTACGCAAGTGCAGAAGTCTGTTGTTCTGAGGTTAGTCATTATTTAGGGCCTATAAACTGAGGGAAAACTAAGTGGGAATTATGAACGCTTCTGATTTTGAGTGTTCTTTCTCTTCATCATCTACTCAGATCACTAAATTTAAACATATAATTTAGTGTTTGGGTACAATTGCTACCGTGTTAAGACATCGAAATACATCGCCAAAAACTTTACGTTTACAGCATCATTAGAGAATGTATTATAGCCCCCTCTGCTCCCATGGCAACAGTTACCGTCGTATAATTGCAAAAGATATGGAGGCGTGGAAAAGGGGCGTCAACTTTTACGCTTCCGATCTCATGGTGAGATTAAGCCATCTTCACACTTACCGTTGAAACCGTCATCGCAAGCAAGATTAAATTTGTGGTTTTACGGGCTTTCTGTCACTTGAACAGACGCCGAAAGGCACTGCGATTCAATTAAGGAAGCTACTAATCCCCGTACAACGTACTCTCAGTAAGATTAAACCGACTCTATCCTATCACAACATGCACACACACGCAGAAGCTACTTCACTATAACTTACATTAAATCCCCGAGAACTGATATAGCCTTTATCAACTTCGAAATGCTCGGTAGTTTGTGAAAGAAATAACACTTTAATCTATCAATAACCTTTTTTTTTACACTCCTGTCTTCGAACTAGGACTAACTTTCAATTCACTCTGCCAGCAAGTTTGGTTTGCACGTTCTGAAAGACGGTTCCATGTATTCAATCGAACTCATTCTAGTCACATATAGAATTTTTTGATAGAAACTTAGAATCATTTGCTGTTTAGGAGAATTTATTTGATTCAAGTTTGGCTGAATCCGTTCCATATATTCAATCGAACTCATTCTAGTCACATATAGAATTTTTTGATAGAAACTTAGAATCATTTGATGTTTAGGAGAATTTATTTGATTCAAGTTTGGCTGAATCCGTTCCATGTATTCAATCGAACTCATTCTAGTCACATATAGAATTTTTTGATAGAAACTTAGAATCATTTGCTGTTTAGGAGAATTTATTTGATACAAGTTTGGCTGAATCCGTACTGTTTAGGCGACGATATTGAATTGTCGAATTTTTAGGGTTGTGATTATTTTAGAATAAAACTATAGAGGGCGTTGTGCATTAGAAATATTGTCTGCACTGTAAGTAATAAATGAACAAAGTTTATTTATTTATCGCGAAAGGGGCCCGGCATGGCCAGGTGGTTAGGGGCGCTAAAGTCGCAATCTGCGGGTCGCGGGTTCGAATCCCCGTCTCACCAAACATGTTCGCCCTTTCAGTCGTGGTGTCGTTATAATGTGACGGTCAATCCCACTATTCATTGGTAAAAGAGTAGCCCAAGAGTTGGCGGTGGGTGGTGATGACTAGCTGCCTTCCCTCTAGTCTTACATTGCTAAATTAGGGACGGCTAGCGCAAATAACCCTCGTGTAGCTTTGCGCGAAACTCAAAACAAACAATCATCGCGAAAGGAATTCTGTCAAATAAGTTTCGTACACTAAAGGTAATAAATGATGATAAATAATTTTTTTATTTTACTTTATTCTTCTATTTCTTATCTTTAACAAAATTACTGATGAAACACGTGCGGTCA